TCAGAGTTAACAAAGTGACTCCTGTTTGTTCGAAGATGCGAATATCCTAGCATTGAAGTCATATATGATAGTTTTTACCTACTTAACTACTGGTATGTGGATAGACAGTCTGGCAGATACATTGGCATTTGCTATTACAATGTTTTAAAATGGTCTTAAGATCACGCAATGTTGGAACTGAAAAAACATATTAATATTAACAGGGTGTCAAAGAAGATAAATTGAAACCAAAAAAAAAACAAAACCAAGGCTGCTGATTTGCTATTACCGATAATTTCTTTCGTGGCTACGTTTATATCACCACGACGATGACAATTAATCACCACTGATTAGTTCCAGAAATTCAGAACAATGTGATCTTGTTCCTAAAGGAATACAATATGTTTCTTATTGAAAATATTTTTGTTTACCTTTTAAATCATTGATTTGTATCTGACTCAGAGATCACAAATCGATGAACAATTTTATTGTGCAAAAATTTGATTTTACATATTGTCCAAATTCTCTTTTATGAATTTTTAATAATAATAATAATATATCATAATAATAAATAATAATCATCATTTAATACACACATATGTCTTGCTATGAAACGAGACATGCTATAATTTTCATTTATCACGGAATATTTTCCTCACAAGAATCGGCCTGATTTTCATCCACGAAATAAGTTCTATTGTGAGTGACGGGATATGATCCCTAAAAATCTTCTATAAGTTTCTTTTTTTGCTTCTAATACCACATCAAATAATATTCTTCCAAGTTCTTTATCGGGATGAGCTTGAATAGAAAGAGCTTTATTTACTGATAAAACCTTAAATAGAAATGGTAAATCTTGATTATATTTATCAGCAATCTCTTTTGTGATTAAGTCTTGATTTGATTTTATCAAATCTTTGAGAGGCATTATTTTTTTTTTGATCCATAATTGCTGAACTTGGTCCATTGGGATGAGTACCCATCCAAAGCTTTAATAAAACAATATAATTGTTAGATGAAATTATTTTAAGAATAAATTTTTTTGATATTTTTTATGCCTACCTCAGCATAAGGTTTATCATTTTCAAGTATAAATCCATCTTGGACTTTAGCAAATTGTGCTACTTTACTATCAGAACCAATCTTACCCCATTCATAATTTTGAACAGCATTTTTTAAACGGTAAATTGAGGACTTTTTGGTCATAATTATTAGAAAATAATAAATAAAAATTTTTTTATAATAATTGATGTTTTCGTCAATCTTGTAAAACCTAAATATTACCACAACAAATTTTAATAAACAAACATCTTGGGCATTTTGAAACCAAACGTTGACTTGATTTTTTATTAGTTTTAATGTTTTGAAATTTTTGAAAGTTGGGTATTGAAGTATTATTAGTATTATTATGGATTAAAATTGCTTATATGAAAAATCATCTGATAAATAATTGTCTGGTTCGATTATTGCGCTTTAATTAATTTACACTACATTCGCTACATCACAATATATATATACACCATGTGGACACAGAATAACAAGAAGCTAGGTTATTCTATGACAAGCTGAAAGTATTGCTTTTGTTGACAAGATTTTATAAAAATTGCACCTATAGTTTGAAACCTTATATCTAAATAATGTCTAAATTTTGGGGGAAACCCCGTATCTATAATGCGCTTTGATATTTTGTAACTTACCTTTAACCTTTAACATCCACTGATCAGCATTTCAGAATGCATGGATGACCAATTTTATGAGACATGATGCAAAAGATTTTGCAAGTGAGATATCACTAGCGTTTGTTAGTGGAAATGAACTATACCTACCGTTTCAGGATTTTGACGAAAATTTAATACTTCAGGAACAAAGGACGTGTAAAAGAGGCGATAAATCAGAGTTTACAAA